TCCCCCACTGCATGCAGAGGTTCCTCCTAAAGGTGCATACGTCTTGTAGTGACATTTGAGCCAGTGAGAGGACATACAGCGTATGGCAGGGTATTCACACACCTAGAAGGATGGAATACCTGCAGCCACTGGGGAGCAGCTTGTAAAGTCTGTGACCCCTGCGGTGACTGGGGAACCAATGAGGAACTGGTCTCATTCACTATGGCTGCAGCTATTGGTAGACAGCGGCAAGGACAAGTGTTATGTTCTCTGCAGTGCTAGTTGCCTGATCCTTTTGGGTCTATTATGAACCACTGGAACCAGAACAGCGATACGTGGACTTGTTCTGGTTCTAGGTGCAGCCAGCATTTCCAGATGGCGGCATTGTCTCTCCTGAGCGGTTCCTGTATATGGTTCATTTGTAAACCTGTTTGTGATGTTTCTTATCCAGGTGCCTGAGTTTGTGCCGCAACTGAATCTTCCCATGTGGATCAAGAACCCAAAGAGGAGGCAGAGTTCCCATTACCAATATCAGCCGCGATTGGTGCCCGGCTACCAGCAAGGAAGGAATAAGGTTTATGGGCAAATGCCATGGATACCGCCTGTGATGCAGAATGAAGGGAACCACTGGACGAATCTACATATGCTGAGTGCTGGCCGCCAGTGCTTAGCCTAAGGAACAAAGTGCAGTCACAATACGGAGGTAGAGCGTACACGTGTGCATAGCACCAAGGTTAACATGCAGCTGTATTGTGGCGTGCCGAGGAATTAGAAATCCCCTTCATGTAGCATCTTCCTGTGTAGTACATGGAGGGTTTTCCTCCTCCAGCAGCACCTAACAAGACCTTAATCTACATAGTGTACCAACAGTGCCGCCTGCTGGCCAAATGCAATATTGCAGTGATTGGACTTCAGTCCATGAAACCATTTCTTCATCGTCTCATGCTTAGTATGGGAATGCACAAACCACCACAGGCAGATGTTTGGCCTATTTTTGTGCTTCCCAAACTGCGAAAATCTATGTTTTCTCCATAGAGATGATGTGTAGTTCTCAATACACGATGAATACATCTATACGCATGTACCTGTACTCTAATATTCATGCTGGACCAAATGACGGAAGAATCCTTCTACTTTTTTTTTTTTTAAATATTATTTAACAAAACTTTTTGTAATTCTATAAACACTTTTGCTGTGATTAGTTGAGTGCCTGAGTATTTTTAATATTTATATATATATATATTGTGACTTGCACAGAATCATGCTAATCAGTTGTTGTTCTGGAAAGTTTCTATACCAAATGTATTTATTTACAAGCTCAATGTAATATTTTATGTATGACACTAATAAATGACCTTTTATTGTAGTAATAATAATAAAACGATTGTATTGCAGCAACATTGAACAACGATGAGATGACTGAACAGATGACATTTGTCTCGTAGTTATGTATTTGTAACATTGATTGAATATTATTACATAAAAGGAAATGATTGAGATAACAGCAGTGCACATCCTGGATCCCGTATCATTTCTGTTATTTTCATGCTATAAGATGGCGTCCTTACTGCTGCTAGTGCGCGGACATGCAGTCATGGAGTTTGTGGGACGAATGTTCCCAACCTTGGCTTGGTAGGCAACCTTGGCTCTCCAGCTGTGCTGGAACTACAAATCCCATAAGACATTGCAAGCCACAGGCATGACTCCCAGAGGCAGAAGCATGATGGGATTTGTAGTTTCAGCACAGCTGGAGAGCCAAGGATGCCTACCCCTGCACTAGAGGGAAGTTTTAAGCTCAACTCCAGCCTTAGCTGCAGTCATGCACAGATGTACCGGCTCCTCTCCTAGACTTCCTTTTTATGTCACTGCACACTGAGCGTTTTACAATGTGCCAGGGGTAGGCAACCTCAGCACTCCAGCTGTGGTGAGACCACAAATCCCATCCTGCCTCTGGGAAAAATGCTGTGGCTGTCAGTTTTGCAATGCCTCATGGGACTTGTAGTTCCACAACAGCGGGCGTCCTGAGGTTGCAGCCCTTTCCTCCATTAGTGCTTGCGTTCCGGTCCAGTGCTGGACATTCATGTATAAAGGTGCCCATACACTGCTCTATTCTCGTACGAGAATTGCTGGAAATCCCGCGATCGTACGAGAATCGAGCAGTGTGAAGGAAGACCTTATTCTTGCGATGGTTGTAAAGTGATAAAAAAAAACGTACGATCTGCCTATCTTGGACAGGCAGATCGTACTCTCGATCATCGCAAGCCCGCCCCCCTGAGGGGCGGGCTTCCGATGACGCAATGCTGAACATGCAGTGTGAGCGTGCGCACACCGGCCCGTTCAGCATTTGTCTCCCGAGCACCGTTCTAACCAGCCGAGAATCGTACGATTCTCAGCTGGTTTTCTAGCGTGCTCCTTAGACAAAAGACGTGCGACCGTACAGTAGAAACGGTCGCACGTCTCCGTTCACACTGCTCGATTATTGTACGAAAAACCGATCGCATACGATTATCGTACGATAATCGTGCAGTGTATGGGCACCTTTTAGACTTTTCTTTTTTGCTTTTGATTGGCAGTTTGGTGGTCTCAGCTGGCAAACCACTAATCAAATTAAAGGAGGAAAATCATTCTGTCATGTCAGCAGCTGTCAAAGCAAGCGTTAGAAATCTTTAGGTGATTGGAGAAACTCTTGAAACATGTTGACCAAAGTTAAAAAAAAAATGAAAGTTTAAATGAAAACTCAATTTCAGTTCCATCAATCGGATTATATGAATATTGCATGGAATAGATTTCTAGACCAAGCGCCTTCAGTGAGAACAATTTGTGTCTCCGCTTTACCTGACAGCAAGAGATTGTTGTAATGAGGTCTTAGGCCCTACCCACACAGACATTGTTTAACATTAGAGTCCCAATTCTGCAAGTATATATGCTTTAGCATATATACGAGCAGCTTTCTTGAAGCACCCTTCATCTTCAGTCTGAGCGTGGCAAAAACAGCCTAAGACCCCGTTCACATTGAGCGATTTATCGCGCGGTAATTCCCACGATATCGCGCTCCAATGCAATCCAATGGGGCAAAGGGTCCTGCTGTCGCGGGTCGTGTGTCGCTACAGCAGGACCCTTTTTGGAGCGGATTTAGCCGCGATTCAAGCTTGCTCAATGCAAGCTTGAACGCGACATCGCGCGGCAAATCTCACGATGTCGCGCAATATGCAAATCGCGCGACTTGCATATTGCGCAGTGGGAACGGGGCCTTAGTGCAGGTTCACACCATTGTCCGGACAAGATCTGATCTGATCTGGAAAATGGTGTGAACCTGCCCCGCAGTTCCAGTGCATTTCAGTATTTTTCTGGTCTGGTCTGGAACGTACAGTGCTGGTGTGAACAGAGGCCAGAAATAGCATAGGGATACATTGGGATGCATTTTGGGTCCGGAAACAATCTGGTCTGCTCTGGAGATTATGTGGTGTGAATGGGCCCTCAGGGGCATGCTGGCTGTAGCTTTAACACTGCTAAAACCAGAGCCAGTACTCCCATAAGATCTGATATCACTCCCACAGTAAACCTGAAGAGATTATCCTCTTCCTCTAATCTTCAGCCAAGTTCATTTCTGTAGCGATATACTGTATAGAGTACTAATTACTTTCACAGCATTCATATATAAATTCCCAAACCATATATACATTTATCAAAATATAGATACAAAATGCTATTGCTACTTGTATAAATCACTGTGCAATAGGACAGCACTGGGTCCCCTGTGCTTCCAGGCCTCGTACCAGTCACATGGTGTGCTACGTCTATAGTTACACCCTTCATATAACGCCTAAGAAATATTTATAATTGTGAATTTATTATTTAAAGTATTGAAAGCCAAAACCCCTTTTTCTTTTCTGTTCATTAGGAGCACATGATTCAGTTATTTTGAGACAATGGGATTATACTGCAGCCAATAGTTGGAATTGGACACTGGCAAATAAGAAAGCTGTTGGCCAGCCAAGTATAACTTCTCCCTATCCCAGCATGCTTCAATTTTTTGCCAGTGTCCTAGGAGGATGGACATCTTTTCTTTATTGAGAATGAGAAAGGTTTGACCTGATCTACACTTTTTCCCCTCTGAGACTCCTTCCTTGTTTATGCTGCAGGGGGCTTCTAATGATCCTTGTAGCTCCAAACTGGCCCAGGTGGATGTGCTACTCCGACCTGATCAAACTTCTGGCAGACCCCCCGTAGGCTCTTCCAGACTGACCAGATCTCCTATCTCAAGGGCTGGTTTACCTACTTAAGGGTTGCTGGCTTTAATAGCATGGTTGTTGAAGCCCAGGTCTTCAGAGACAAGGGTCTCTCTAATTTGGCAATTCACATGCTGTTAAAAGCAAGATAGTCTACCTCTCAGGAGATCTGCAACCACACAGGGGAAGCTTACTCCGACTGGTACAAGGAAAGAAGATTTCAGCCCAGGAAGTGCTCCATGGGAAGAATCCTAACCATTTTGCAATCAGGCCTGGATCAGCATTTGAATACTATGAAGGGACAAATCTGAGCCCTTGCAACCTTTTTCCAACAACCATTAGCCTCTCATTCTCTGGTTAAGGCTTTTATGAAGGGAGTCTCTCATAAAGCTCCACCTATACAACCACCTGCGATTCCAAGGAACTTGGTTTAGCAAATACCACCCTTTGAACATAGCAGGGTAAGGTCTCGTTCACACCTAGGCGTATTGCATATGCGCGTTTCCGAAGGCTACTTGGCTGTATCCCAATGGAAACGCGCAACAAAGCGGCCCAAAGTAGTACCTGTACCTTTTCAGGCGTGGGCCGTTTTGTAGCGCGTTAGGGACGGGCGGAAATACGCCAAGGTGGGAACGAGACCATTGAATACAATGGGATTTATATTTTTTTGCGTTTTGTAGAGCGTTCGTCGAGCGTAGAACGCGCTACAAAGCGTTCAGGTGTGAACGAGGCCTGAGTCTCCTGTCCACACGCGTTCTCTCATTGCTCTCACCCATGCAGGGCATATGTCTCATCTACCTAGGTCCTCCTTTCCTTTTACTTTAACCAGGACATTGGTCTTCCGTCTCTCTGGCTCCTGTACGCCAGAAAGAAATGTTCTATTCACTGTCTGGATACAGTGTGTGCTGTGTGGGTGTACATCTTTGCCACTTCTAACATTAGAAAGAATGAATCCCCTTTTTTTTTCCATTCCTGATGGTGGCCATATAGGAGAACCGGCTTTTTGCTCCACCATCTCCTGGTGGCTCAGACAGATCATCATAAATCTTATGGTCTTGAAGATATGGTACCACCTTTTCCTATCAAAGCACACTCTACTAGGTCTGTAAGTTCTTCGCTTTTTAAGACATCGGACAACTGGTTCACCGATTTGCAAGGCTGGCACCTAGTCTTTTGTCCATAGGTTCTTTAGGTTTCACCAGGTGGATGTTCAGGTCTGGTCTTGAGCTGCAGGCTAGCCGTAGTTCTATTTTTTTTCATTATGTGGGCTTGGTAATGTTTCAGCACTGTTGCCCTCCCCTCCATTGGCTTGCTTTTAAATGTCCTGCTTGTCTCAGAATAACTGGATTGTGTGTAATGAACTCTAAGGAACGGATTTTATGGAGAGTACAAGAAATCCTGTTTTTAGGTTTTGGATGGAGTAGGCAATGGTTAAGGCTCCTGTCAGTTGTCTTTCTACGGTCTGTCCCACCGAAGCAGTTTGCCCTCATTTCTTGTCCCAGAGATACAACAGGAAGTAA